ACGCTTGCTGTAAGGAGACCTCATGGCCACTGCGACTTTTATGAAGGAAAGCATTTAATCGAGGCTGGCTTACAGTTTCAGAGGTTTAGTCCATTATCATCATGGTGGGAGCACGGCAGCTTCCAGGCAGGCATGATGCTGGAGAAATTGAGAGTTCTATATCCAGATCCACAGGCAGCACGAAGAGAGACACTCTGGGCCTGGTTTGTGCTTCTGAAATCTCAACACCCACCCTCAGTGACATACTTTCTCCAACAAGACCACACCTTCTAATCCTTTCAAATTGGGCCGCTTCCTGGTGACCAAGCATTCAAATCTATGAGCCTATGAGGACCATTCTTACCCAAACCACCACACTCAACCATCAGCCTTCACCATACCAATCTTACTATTTCATTCATTCATTCATTCATTCATTCATTCATTCATTCACTCATTCATTCCTTTATTCACTGTCTTAGTTAGGATTTCTGTTGCTGTGAAGAGACGCCATGACCACAGCAACTCTTATAAAGGAAAACATTTAATTTGGGCTGGCTTACAGTTTTAGAGATATTTGTCTATCATTATCATAGCAGGGAGCATGGCAGACATGGTACTGCAGAGATAGCTGAGAGTTCTACATCCAGATCCTCAGGCAGCAGGAAGAAAGAGTGAAACACTGGGCTGGGCTTGAGCTCCTGAAACCCCAAAGCCCACCTCAGTGACACACTTCCTCCAACAAGGCCACACCTCCTGAGTAGTATCATTCCCTATGTGCCCATGAGGACCATTTTTATCTCAAACTATCACATTCACTCATTCGTTTATTCACTCGATATTTTTTACATCATGACACATGCTGTCCTCCCTTCTAGGCAAGGAAGACACGGAAGTAAACAAAACAGACTAGAATCTTTGTGTTCTGCTGGGAAACAAGAAGATGAGACAAAAAAAAAAAAAAAAAAAAAAAGGAAGATGCTGGGGCAAGGGCTGAGGGACAAGAGCAGATAATAAAGATTGAAAAATGGTGGAGGAAGGGGACAGTTTTAAAGCAAGGTTGACGACAGGAAGCTTTGTTCAGGGAACATGTGGCTGATGCAAGCAAAAAAAATGAACTGCTACATTCTTCAGGAGTGGAAGGGAAGTAATCCCTCCTCCCAGCCATCACCCCCATGCCCCTCCTGCTCTTTCTACTGAGAGTCAGTCCCCTGAAACTTAGGCTTGCCTCTACATCATCTCTGGGAGACCTTCAAACTGGACCCATGCTGGCACTGTGCCCTCTGCTATCCTCTGCCTGTGCCTAGCCCACTTGTTACCTAGGAACGTCCCTCATTCTTTATGCGCCTACCAGCATCCTTTGCCATCCCGTCTGGGGCCCTCTCATCTGGACGGTGCTCAGTTCTAAAAGTTCTAAGCTCAGATTCAATGTCAGTCCCCAGTTCAGGAAAAGTGACTGAAGTGGGACCCTTCCTTGTCAAGAAGAGCAGACACTAAGGGGTGTTCCCAAGCAGCTCTCTTGTGGGATTTTGTCCACTAGGTTTCACCAAGACCCCCAGATCCCAACCACCATTGGCTCTTATCCAGACTGCGATGATCTCTCGATGGTGACGGTCTTCTATCCTTTGTGTTCCTCAATCTTCTGACACACACAGCAGTCAGAGATCACCATTTTTAATATGAACTAGACCAAGTTGCTTCTCTTTCTGGGAAGAGATCTGTGATCTCACAGTTCCTGTGATCTGCCAGCATGAATCATCTAAAACATGTGTTAGTCTGTCTGGTCCCATGTCTCTGGACCTTGTCCTTACTGCCCTGTGACCTTGGTCCCTTCCCAACTCCACCCTAGGACTTTGCCTCTGCCTATAACTTGTTTATTTTACCTTCTGGGAATCTCATGGTCACCCAGATTCCTGCTTAGAAGCTGAGAGTATTCACCAGTGGACACCAGAGGCCAGATGCTCAGACACCAGATATGAGGTGGGAAGGCTGCCCAAGCCTCTTGGCCTCATTCACCTCCACCTAAACATCCTGGCCGCCCAGGCACTGGTTATTTTGTTTATTTTGTATTTCAGTCTCTTTTTGTTTTGTCTGAGTTCTTTATGTTTCATTTTTGAACTTCCTCTTAAGAGACAAAGACACTCTAAGTACCTGAGGCTGGTCTGGAACTCACTATGTAGCCCAAGTATAGCCTGAGCTGTGGTCTTCCCACCTCAACTTCCCAAGAGCAGAGATTTCAGATAATGTACCACCTTGTCTGGATCTTCAAAGTTGTTAAATATAAATGAATAGCAGTGTTCATAGTGCCTCCTAGAACCGTGTCTGGAAGTGCTTTTGATGCTTGGTGAAAAGTGAGTGAGTAAATAGCCTCATTAATTCTCACAACAAACACTATGGCCTATTTTAGTGCATTCTCTCTCTCTTTCTCTCTCTCTCTCCCTCCATCTTGCTCTCTTTTTCTTTCTTTTAACAAATACTAATGCTTGAGTCCAAACCCAGCAGGTTCTGATTTAATAGGTCGGGTATGGTTATGCTAAGCCTATAAAGTCATTGTACTAACCCTGATGTATTGACGTTTTAAATGTATGATACACTTGATAGAAGGAAGGTCACCAAGGCAGGACCTGTCAATCAGATTGGTCTTATTTGGCATGCTCATACCTGCAAGCAGCTGGATTAATTTCGGGGCTGTCAGGCCACGTTCAGCTGGGGCAATCAGCTCTGTGGCACTCAGAGGAGATGCCGGGGTCTGAGGAGCAGGCTTTAAGTTAACCCCTTTTGATGAGAGCAGGACCTGTCTGCTAATGGGTGTCCCCAAGAAATCCAGGGGCAGAAATGAAGTTCCTACTTGAGCTCATGGAGACCACAGCTGCCTCTGAAACAATGTTCTGAGTTCTGGGATTCTAGAGGGCCAGGCTGGGGGCTGGAGAAGAATGGGCCATTGTTGAGTAAGAGGGGCCCAGCCCAGAAGCCCTGCTGAAAGCATGTACCCATGAACGCTAGGGACCAGAGTTTCTCTGGAGCCTGGCTGTAGGGGAGCTGGCCTGTGGACTGGAGTTTGAGCCCCAGCACAGTCCTAACCAGTGTGATCTTAAACACGTTTACTCTTTCTGAGGTTTGGTGTCCTCTTCTGTTTAATGATGTAGAATTCACTGGGTATGGAAAGAGTTGAACTGACAGGTGCAAAATGAGCAGCTGAGTATATGGAAGATAGTAAACTCTCCCATCTCCTCCACTGCCCATCACTCAGCCTTCCCTTCCCTTCCTTCCTTCCCTTACTTTCTCTTTCCAAGCACAGGGAATTGAACCCGGGGCTTTGCACCAAGAGCTACACCCCAGGCCTTCTTAGAGCCTTTCCTTGGCTGTCTTCCAGCATATCAAGCCCCTTCTTCTTCCACAAATACAATGTCCATGCTCCTATCTCAGGGCCTTTGCACCCGCATTCTTCTCCGTCAGGAAGCTCTCTACTCAGGAATCCTTGACCCATTCTCTTCAAGTCCCCTCAGCCCTTTCCCGGTCACTTTGTGTAAAATGACAGCCTCACCCCCACCTTGGGCCTTAATCACCTCCTAAGTTACATGCCATTCCCTTTGCCTTAGCATATACTTGGCACCCAGGAAATACTTATTAAATAAAAGCTGTTTGTATTATTAACATGCCATTGTTATGGACAGAGTCTTCAGCTTTGGGCTCCCTACTGTCCCAGCTCTTCTCAAATACAGACAGACATAGGGATAGTGAGATCACCTGAAGATCATTTGTCCATATACCTGGACCTGAAGATCATATCTCTAAAAATTGCTGCAAATTCAGGCATGCAATTCATTTATTGCCTAGGACCTGGTAAAAAACAAACAAACAAACAAACAAACAAACAAAACAACTGTGGCCAAGTTAGCTAGGGAGAAAGAAAAACTGTCTATGTAGAAATGGGCCAGCATGATCTGACTGGGAGATGAAACCAGAAACATGGCACCATGAGTATTAGACAGTCTGTGTGAGGCTGAGCATTTTCTCATCCACTTTCAGTGTTAAGAAAGATGTTCTAAAGTCAGACTGTACCAGGTTAGATTTTGTCAAAACAAACAAACCAAAACAAAAAAACCAAACAAACAAATACAAGCAACACCTCCCCCCCTTCATACCTACAACGTCAGAAATCAGTTGGAACCTATGACCTATGGAAAGCTCCGCAGCACAATATCTGGCAGTGAAAAACTACTGAATGAATCTTTGCTGTTGCTACTAGAGGACTCAACAAATAATCATGAACTCTCCCAAAGGCACGACTGTTCTAAGTGTGGGGAGGTGGGTGTGCAAATCTGGAGCCACAAGGAGCTCATGTTCCCCGTGTGCGTGTGTGAAGGGGAGGAACAGCATGAATTAACTAAAAACATACAGTGTTAGAAAGTGGCATTCCAAATGAGTGAGACCTTGAAGGTAGGAAACCGCATTGAAGGGGCAGCTGGACAGGAAGGCACAGGCATGCAGCAGGGCTGTGCCGGAACCAGTTCAGGGGGAGGGCAGGGGCACGAGCAAGCAGGTTCTGCATCCCAACAGCCATGCGATAGATGGGATCAGATTTTCTTTTTTTTTTTTTTTCCTGCTTTTAAAGAAGCGGCCCAATGTGCAGCCATGGAACAACTTTGGCTTCAACCCTGGCAGAAATAGGGAACATTAGAAAGCTTTTTAATCTAATTTTAATAGCTTTATTTAGATAAGAGCCAAAGTTCTTTTTTTTTTTTCTTTTTTTTCCCAGTAAATGTATGTAATTGTGCTGCCTTGGCCCCCATCCAAGAGCCATCTCATTAACTCAAAGAATCCCTTGCTCTTCCTTAGCCAAGCTGCACATTCACTTTCTATCTTTAAGCCCTGGGGCGGGGGAGGGAGGATGTTCACGTGGGAAACATCCAGATCCGGCTTTAATGGCCTTTCTGTTAAAGCAAAGTTCTCAGTCCAGTTTCAAGTTGCTGACCTGAATTCCAGGGGACCTTCCTGAGAAGGCTGACTCCAGGCCAGGGTTTAATCTCACAGGCACTGGGCAGCCAGCGAAACCCTGGGAGGGAGCCACTTTCACTAGCTCACAGTGTCCTGACCCAAAGCAGACTTGTAGACTTGTAACTCTGCTCTCTCCAGCCTCTGCTTGGGGCTAAAGCTCGCTGTCAGAATCCTGCCTTCGCCAGCCTGTGGAAAGCTTCCCAGGAGCTTTTGGGTGTGCTCTGCTGCTGAAGCTGAACACAAATGTCTTTCGGGTGCCTGGGATTTTAAAACAAGGTAACTGAGCCAGAAATCCTCCCCTGACAGGTGTCACCTACCCAGAGATCTTTGGGGATTAAATCAAGGATAGGCATGACCTTAGGGAGTGTGGGGAAAGGCCTGAGGACTGCAGAGGTCAGCCATCAAAGAGGGAAGAGTCAAAGGGAAGAGCATGGGGCAGAATACAGATGTGGGGATGTCTGAGGCCCCATGCCCAGGGTTAGTGTCTGACCACAGGCTTTTCTGGAAAGTGAGACTTGGAAGAAGCTTTTCCCTTCTAAACCCCCTTCTCTAAAGAGGAAAGTAGTATTTGCAACAGAGTTGTTATAAGGCTTAATGAAAAACTTTTTGTTTTGTTTTGTTTATAATTTTTACTGTTGATTAAGCATATGTTGTTATACATAATAATGGGTTTTGGTATGGCTTTTTCAGACAAGCATAAAATGCTCTTTCATCATCATCATCCCCGTGGACACCTTCTGTCCCTTTCTGCTCTCACAGATCCCCCTCTTCTCAACACTTTTGTCCTTTTAAGTTATTATTTCTGGAACGCAATGAGCTTAAATGGGGTTGCTTCCAGGAGCATGAAGAGTTAGTTCCAGCAGCATGCGTAATTTATTGGTGGAAAATAATGTTTATAAAGTTTTTTTTTTCTCTCTCTTCAAAATGCTCTGTGCTCAGCCAGCCTTCAGTGGTGGTGGGAACAGGCTCTCTGTTGTTCGAACACGTTATCATTGTTTTACTGTTGCTTGTCCTGTAATCACCAGAGGACCTTGGCCCAAGTGACTGAGACTGAAACGGGGAGTGTCCCCAGGCCACAGACATATCAGGGATCCTGTAAACATACAGAGTCACCCTCATAGGTGGAAGCTGAGGCTCTGCACCTGTCACAGCTCTGGGGACTACTCATGCGCCAAGGCCCATACCCTGAGCAGCAAGGACCTAAAACAGCCCTGCTCTGCTCATGCTGACCACTGGCAGCTCCTGGCACTTGGCGAACTTTGCTGTGCATGTTAGTGCAAAGCGGGCATTGCGTTTGCAGTCTTGGTATAAAAACACAAGCCTCTCCTAAATGACCTCTTCTCACAGGGATGCTCTGCCGAAGCGATGAGGTTATTCGCATGCCTGGTTGCATTAGATGTATTATTTTAATTAATGCCACATGGTTCCTTTCTTGTCTGCATCTCGGTGCAATAAAGGTGTGAGTTGCGTGTGTGGTTAGTATCTTGTCTCGGCTGGGCAGAGTTGAGCTGTTTGATGTTCTAGCTGTGTTACTTACGCTGACCTGACCATCACACACTATACACCTTAGCTGAGAGGTCACAGTGTACGCTCTAAATCTATGTAATTATGTGTCAATTAAAACAGTAAAAATGTGCGTCAAGGGGAGAGGGAGATAATTCAGTCCATGCAATCCTCGTCCCCCAAGTATGAGGGCCTAAGTCTATCTCCAGAACCTAGATGGAAGAGCTGGAGACAGGTGGATTCCTGGAGGGTGCTGGCCAGCCAGCCTAGCCTAACTGACGAGATATAAACCAATGGAGAGACTTGGTCTCAAAAAAAAAAAAGGCAGTTCTAAAGAACAACAGCATAAACACACATATTCACATAAACGCACAATCATGACCCATGTTAAAGGTTATTTTTAATACTGTAGCAAAATTACTGTTATTGGGGGATCCCTTTGAAGGCCTGAGTTTAAGAAGTTGGCTCTGAAAGGATGGCCTCTGATACATGCTGATCCCACATATGTTCAGGGAGAGGTAGGAGAGGACCTCCGGTTCAGAAGAGTTACTACCAATGTCACAGCCGAATGAGGCCACCCGTGTGTCTCACAGTCAGTCTGAGCTACGCCACCCTCAGGGCTGTCCACAGACTCCCCCGTCAACCCAGATCCCAGAATTCAAGGTTACAGTCTCTCCCCTTTGCTGACAGGCAGGAGGCATGGCTCTCTCTCTATGGCTGAGAGGCCTGGTCGGCCAGGCCCTGAGGAGTTCCTGGAGAGTCTGCAGGATTCACACGCAGCCGCCACCTCCCCCTATCCCTGAGGTGGCCACGTGGGAGGCCATCAACCTGGGGAGGCAGCCGGTGCCCGAGTACTTCAACTTCGCCCATGATGTGCTGGACGTGTGGACTCAGCTGGAAAAGGTGAGGCCCACCCTGCCGTGGTGTCCCACGTGGGCATCCGAGGTCCCTCAGATGCTGCGAGGAGACTCAAGACTGTAAGACATGCGCGTTTCAACACTGTGGCAAGCCCTGAGGGGGGCGCAAATTATACACAGGTGGTATATAATTTGCACAGTGCTTAAAGTGTCACCCATTCCTGAGCCCAAATCACACCGGATAGCTGTGCCCTGCCCCTTCATCCTCCTCTGATGGATCCGATAAGCAGACTCGGCTCTGTTTTGGTTGCATTCTGTCGTCTCTCGCTCTCACACACTTCCCTTCTGGGTAGGAGAAATGGGGGCTCAGGGCCAAAGTTTTTCACTGAGACGTGAGCAAAAACAAACAAAAATCCTGATTTTGTTGTGAGTCTTGTCTGCACACACTTTCTTACTTTCCCTTCTGCGTGTCTATTGTGTATATCTCTCTGTGTTATACTTGATACTAACAATTTATTGATAATAAAAGGGTATAATTTTGATTCCAAAGAAATTTTACTATTGTTACTTTTGTTTGCTTGCTCCAAATAAAAACAGAAAGGAGCAAAACCAAACAACAACAAAAAACAAACAACAACAAAAATGGGTCTATGTAGCCCTGACTGGCCTGTAACTTGTTTAATAGACCAAGTCAGCCTTGAACTCAAAGAGATTTATCTGCTGGCCTCCTAAGTGTATTTCCTCATTTTTGAGATAGACTCATTCTGAAACTCTAGCTGGCCTGGAACTATAGCCAACTTGTAGCCCAAGTTAGCCTTGACTTCAATGCAATGCCTCAGACCTCAGTGATTACAGGCCTAATCCACTGTTCCTACCTTATCTGTGTTATTCTTAACCTTGTTGATTCTGCCATCGCTAGATACAGGAAGAAAGAAACGTAAGAAACAAATAAAACTGACCACTCTCTGAAGCACAAAGAGGGAGCAAGCCTTTGGGTTTGTGTTTGGCTGGTTGACTTTCAGTTTTATGAAAGATGGTCTCATTTAGACAAGGCTAGCCCTAAACTCACTATGTAGTAAGAGATGATCTTGGGTTACAGGCATGCTACACAGCAGCTGGTTTATTTTGTGCTGGGGGCTGAACCTGGGGCTTTGTGCATCAACAGACTCAAACCCTAAGCCCATCATTTTGAGTGTTGAACTCTGTGAACACATAACCACTATAAACATGTTTCTCTTAAAAAACAAATGAACAAGCCACTCAACAATGGCTTCTTTTTTTCTCCTGGCTGCACCCACTGTCTAGGCAGGACACCGGCCCCCAAATCCTGCATTCTGGTGGGTGAATGGCTCAGGAAAAGAAGTCAAGTGGACATTTGAGGAGCTGGGGAAGCAGTCCAGGAAGGCAGCCAATGTCTTAAAGGGTGTGTGCGGCCTGCAGCCTGGAGACAGAATGTTGCTGGTGCTTCCTCGACTCCCAGATTGGTGGCTGATCAGTGTGGCTTGTATGCGAACAGGTCAGTGAGTAAGCTTGGGGCTCCTTGGTAGGACTGACACTGCCTACCAGAACTTTGCAGTTCTCTCAACATTTGGAAGATGGAACAAAGAGAACCCCATATGGGGTTCACTTTCCCTTTGCCCAGCAATCACAAACCTGATTGCATGCAGAGGTCAGACAATAATATGATAATTAAAAGCCAACTGCTTAGTAAGGGTGGAAGTGTAAGGAGTCCCTGAAGATTTTTAAGCACCTACTATGTGCTGGGAACTGTGTTAAGAGATTTTCCATGATAAAACTTTGGTCAGGGTGTTATTTTATTTTGCTACCAAATATCTCACTTTTGCCTACTCTGTAGTTTTACGGATACTCAGATAAAAATAACCTACAACCACATTTCACATTATCATCAGAGGTGGTGCCTCCACTCCAACACTGCAGAAAATAGCAAAGCTGATGCCAGCATAGCCCTGCATCCCTACATTTTCTTTCACGTGACTTTCTCTTAGTGACAGCTCTGTGTTCTCAGACCTGAACACAGGCCTAAAGCATAACAAATCTCAGCCGTGGGGAGGCAGGGACAGGCGGATCTCTGGAGCCTGACAGATACCCAGCTTGGTCCATATGGCAAGTGCCAGGCCAATAGGAGATCCTGTCTCAAAAACAAGGTAGATGGTGATTGAAGAGTGATTAATACCTGAGATTGCCTCCTGACCTCCTACACACACACACACACACACACACACACACACACACACACACACAGCAAACTCCCCCCCCCCCACACACACACATACTTGCATAAAAGAAGAACACCGTTCAACTCAGAGTGTTCACACTGGGTACTAAATTGTGCAAGAGTTTGGGAGACGGGGCAAAGGGTAGTGAGAGCATGAGCTTGGCTCTTTTTTTATTGTTCTGAGCTGACCTTTCCCTCTGCTTCTTGCTCTCACTAGATGTTTTCCTCTGTGAATGAATGTGTTAGCATCTAGGAAAAATACTAATAATCTGCATTCTGATATATAATACAATAATCTGACATACTGAGGGTTTTCAAATGTCGGGTTTGCTCCCAGGTCCTTATTCCTCCTCCTTGAAGGTGGATGGAATCTGCCAAACTTTACATAGCTTTGGCTGAAGCTATGTGGGCGTTCTGAAATCCCTGCCTACTATACCTCCATCATGAGCAAGTGATCCACATACAACACACAGGTTTACTGCAAAGGCATGAAAAGCTATTGAACCAAGGAGTTGCTAAGGCAATGCAATATAATATATTCAAGACCATGGACTCCCAGTGTCTTAGTCAGTCAGGGTTGCGATTACTGTGACGGAACACCATGACCCAAAGCAACTTTGGGAGGAAAAGGTTTATTTGAGTTACATTTCCATCACTGAATGGAAGTCAGGACAGGAACTCAAGCAGGGGTGGAACCTGGGGGCAGGAGCTCATTCAAAGGCCATCAAGGAATTCTGCTTACTGCTTACTGGCTTGCCCATCATGGCTTGCTCAGCCTGCTTTCTTAGAGAAGGTAGGACCACCAGCCCAGGTACGGCACCACCCATAATGGGCTGGACCCGCCCATGTCAATCACTAATTAAGAAAATGCCCTACAGCTGGATCTTACGAAGGCGCTTTCTCAACTGGGGTTCCCTCCATTCAGATGATTCTAGTTTGTGTCAAGGTGACACAAAACCAGTCAGGACAGGCAGTATTAACACTGCTTTAGCTCCGCAATTCCAGCAGTATTACACATTAGCAATGTACTCTTGGGTAAGCCATTTGGTTTAGGGAAGGCATGAAGGCCTAAAGAGGCAGACGCTTTAAAAATGGATGGTGTGTTCAGCACAACGGCACTCATTTCTGTGCATCGTGGAAACTAAGTGAAGAATGCCTGGGACGTTCTTACCATGGACACATGCTCCACATCTTTTGGATTTCATTGTTCCCTCTTCAGTTCCTGTGTCACTGGCCTCTACATTAGGATCCTCCTTCTCTCCTAACAACCTCCCTTCTCTGTGTGACCCCAGGTGTGGTCATAATCCCAGGTGTCTCCCAGCTGACAGCAAAGGATCTCAAGTACAGGCTGAAGGCAGCCAGGGCCAAGTCTATCGTCACTAGTGAGTCCCTAGCTCCACAAGTGGATGCCATCAATGCTGACTGTCCCTCCCTCCAAACCAAGCTTCTGGTATCTGACACCAGTCGTCCAGGCTGGATCAATTTCCGGGAACTCCTGAGGTAAATTGGGACCCTCCAGGAGAGTTGCAGCGAGCTAGGCTTTGAGCATGGGAAGGCTGAACCAGATAGGCACAGCATCCTGTGAACCCCTCAATGTTCAAGGTCACTGAGTCACTGGATGTGTCATTGTCTCCCAATGTCCTCTAAAGTGGTGGCAAAGATTGTTAGCCAGAGCATATGAGCTAAAAGCTGTGACACGTTTAGTTCACAGAAAGCTGTCAATAGTGAAAGAGCGGCCTTACATTGGGGCTTGCTGCATGCCAGGATCTGTGCTAACTAAACATCCTGCATTCATTGGTGCAGGAAAGATGTAATGACAGCTACTCTGTGGCTGGCATTGTCTTCGGGTGCTCAGAACACTACAATAAGGAAGAAATTGTCTTGCTTAATCCTCCTTTGAAAGATTAACTTTACTTTTACAGGCGAGAAAACAGTCTTGGAAAAGTGAAGTGACTCACGTAAAATGCCAAAAAGGAATAAAGTCACAATTAAGGCACAGTCAAAGAAACTTTGCCTTGTAACAAGGATGTGGCAGGCATTTATCTGGGAATTTGAGATTTTGTCATGGAATGCCTGACAGGAATGCCTATCCTGGTGGCTCATACCTGACACCCTAACACCCAGGATTGTGAGTTTGAGGACAGTCTGAACAATAAGGCCAGACCCTGTCACAAAACAAAATAAATAATTAAAAAAAAAAACAAAGAAGGAAGAAAGATTCTAAAACAGGCCCTGGAATGCTGGACTCTGAGGACTGGAGTGTCACCTCAGAGAACAGATGTGCCTGAACAAATACCAATTGTGTGTGTTTCAGCATCTGACCTCCTTAGCCAGGCATACGTGAACCACAGCCCTAGGAGTCCTCACCCTTAGCTAAAGCTCAGTCCATGGTATTTTGGTGAGTTGTCAGATTAACTTAGATATATCCTTTTACATTTCAGTTGTCTTTAAAATGACCCAACCCCAAAAAACATCAACATTCTGATTTCATTTTGTCCAAGGCAGAGCAAAAGTAATGGAATTTCTCTTAAACATTAACTCTGAGATCCAAGACACAGCCATGGCTGAGAACCATGAGCTAGCTGAGTCTTCAAATTCCAGAATTTGGGAAATTATGCAATCTCAAACCCTTAATTTTTGAGAAACCATTTAAACAAATGTCTCTACATTGAGAACTGAGTTGGGGATGGGGCTGTTCACAAGTAAACAGAATTATACACATGAGAATGAGTGTGTCCCAATACAAAGTCCTCAGCCCCATTCAAAAAAGTAGGTAGGGATCTTCGTGTGTGTGTGTGTGTGTGTGTGTGTGTGTGTGTGTGTGTGTGTGTATGTGTGTGTGTGTGTACCTGTGTGCATGTGTGCATGTTTGTGTGTGTATTTGGTGTGTGTGTGCATGTTTGCAGGTGTGCTATCTGTATGTGGTCCGTGTGGGTATGTGTGTGCATGTTTGTGTGTGTGGTGTGCGTATGTGGTATGTGTGTGCGTACTTGTTCGTGTATGGATGTGCAAGCCAGAGGCTAACGTCAGGTGTTTTGCTCTATCACTGTCCACCACCTTACTTTTTGAGACTCACTGAGCCTGGAGCTCACCAACTAGGTAGAATGGCTGCCCAGGGATCTCCAGGGATCTTCCTGTCTCTGCATCTCTAAGCCTGGAATCACAGATGCAAGCAGCGTTTATGAATGTGCTGAGGATCTAAACCTCAAGTCTTCTCCCTCACACTGCACTGGCTGAGCTATCTACCCAACCTCTCACCAATAAGTCATTCGGGCATTTGGGGCTTCAATTTCCTTGGCTACAGAATGGTTGGAGAGATAGTACCTATCTATTAAGCTAACATAGCCCTCCACCTGGCACCCCCTACATGACGTGTTGAAGCCTTAGCCTGCCCCTGTTGTATCTTTGGTACCGCTTGGTTTTTGGTTGTTGGTGTGTTTGGTTGTTGGTGTCACCTCGTGTGCTTGCACTTTCCAGGGAGGCGTCTACAGAGCACAGCTGTGTGAGAACCAGGAGTCGAGATTCTGTGTCCATCTACTTCACCAGTGGAACCACAGGGGCCCCCAAGATGGTGGAACATTCCCAGTGCAGCTATGGATTGGGATTTGTGGCCAGTGGAAGGTACTGGGACAGCTTGTCCAGAAGGTGGGGGGAGAGTGAAGGAGCAAGAGGTGGAAATGGAGGTCAGAGAGCAAGAAGAGGGTAAGACAGGTGGGGTCTGGAGGGCTTTACTTTGAGGAAGCACAGGACCTGTTCTTTCAGTTTTGTCTTCTTACCAATGACACAAGTGTGCTCATTGAGACAGTGGTTGAGTTGATGGATCTTGTCTAGATTGACAAGTTTACGCGGCACCTCCTGTGCTGTGAGCTCCAAATAATGCGATGGGAGTAATGTAATCCACTCTAAAGGCGGTGACATTGACGAGGGTGCTCTGACTTTCCCTCATTTTTGGCAGGAGGTGGATGGCCTTGACTGAATCTGACATATTCTGGAACACAACTGACACAGGTTGGGTGAAGGCAGCCTGGACCCTCTTCTCTGCCTGGGCCAACGGAGCTTGCATTTTTGTGCATGAGCTGCCTCGAGTTGATGCCAAAACAATTCTAAATGTAAGGGGGGGGGTGGAGAACCCAGTGCTAGGGATCTGAGCTTTGCACACCTTTGGGGAAATGCCCTACCACTAAGCTGTCTCTCCAGCCCTTGTTTATAAACAGAGTCAAACTACATAACTCAGGATAACCTTGAACCGGAGGTGTTCCGCACTGGAGTCCCAACAGTTGAGGTGACAAGCGTGTGCCACCAGGCCGACCTCTGAAACACCTCTTGTGTCTTGGGTGTGAAGGAGATGAGTGGAAGACATGTTTTAAGGTGGAACAAGAAAAATGCATGAATTTAATGACAAATAATCTCAGAGCCTTCCTTAATCTACTTTCTGTCCACCTAGAAACCTTTAGTCATTACTTGTGCTCAAAGTAGATCCCCAGGCACAGAAGCATTTTCTCTCTCAAAACTTTAGCAAAACCTTCTGTTGCATTCTGTGCCTCTCTTTCCACCATCTTCTTCCTTGTGCTCTTGCCAAAACACAAGCTATTTGTCAAAACCTGTTTGTTTTGACAAATTTTAGGTAAAATTCAAATTCTAGTGGTCAGCGTGTGCTGCTGTCTCTGGACCTTATTATTAATGTTTCACCCAACTTTAGGCCCAATACCTCCTGTCTAATCATGATGTAGGGGGATGGACAGCCCCAGTGAGGACACTGAGTGCCTTTGTTCTGTCTTCTAAATGGCATTTCTTGAGCCATCAATAAGCCTATCTCCCCATACCCATTTCTATGGGACAAGCTGGGTTAGATATGGCTAGAAGTATGGGCTTCACCATTGGTCAAACTCGGACTCTCATCCTCATCTCCTGACTTCTTTGAGTCTCGCTTTCTAAGTTGTCACGAGAACTGAAAGATACCAGGTTCCTAATACATTAGTTGTTATTCACTTCCCATCATCGCTGTTCATGTAGGACTTGTCAGCCACTTGTGTTGCTTTTCTCTTCCCTGTCCTCAGCCGTGGCACTATATTTATGAGCTATTGCTATACTGTGTATTAAAATCAGCAGCTTTAATGCAAAGGATTATTATCTCACAACTTCCCATGGTAAGGAATCTGGGAGCAACTTTACCAGGTGATTTTGGAGAAAAGAATCCTTGTAAGGTTGCTGCCAGGTAGTCACCAAAGTACACTCATACTAATAGCAGCATTCACAGTATTCTGTTCACAGTAACTAAAAGGCAGGACTAACCCAAGCATTCATCAGAAACTGACAGTGTAAACCACACACACACACACACACACACACACACACACACACGTCATCCTTTAAGAGCAAGCAAATTCTGATACTCTGCAATATGAATCTGGAGGACCTCATGTTAAGTGAAAAGAAGCTAGGCATCAAAAGACATACACTACATGACTTCATTTATATAAGTTACCTAGAATAGTCATGTCCATGAAGACAGAACAGAATGGCAGTTACCATGAGCCTAGGAAAAAGATACCAGGAATTTACTACATAATGAGTACACAGACCCACTTTAGAATGATGAAATAATTCTGAAGATGGGCGGTGCCACGGTGTAAAAACACCTTAAAGTGAGTGCAGCAGGAAAATGTGTGACATACACATGTAGGGATAATTTACATTTCTGTGTGTTCACATGAATTCAGGTAAATGAATGTGTGTAAGTGTGTATAGGCTTGTAAATTTATGTGTGTGGTCCTGTGGTTAACTTCAAATGTCATTCCTCAGGTAGCACCACCTTGCTTTTGGCCTGGAGCTTGCTTATTGAGCTAGAATGCTGGCCAGTGAGCCTGAGGGAATCTACCTGACTCTGCCACTGTAGTGCCTAGTTTATAAACATATTCAGCCACACCTGAATCTTTTTCTTATGGGTTGGATTTTGGGACCAAACTCAGACTCTTATGTTTACACTAGTTGAGGCATCTCCCATGATCTCCAATAATAATTTTTACAAAGCCTAACATCTAGGAATGCAGTCATTTCAGGGTACGGTTAGGCCTGGGTAAATCTGTTTAAATTCTGCATTGTAGTTTTATCAGTTGTGCACTGAATACTGGCCAGAGGCATCATTTCCTCATTGTGGGTCCTTATCCCAAGGACAGCTATCCCAAGGTGCAACCTGGTACCTTATCTTCCCAGACTGGGTCACTCAAGAGAGGGAAGGAGGTAAAAACATCTGAGACAGAAGCTGTCTTCTTCCTATAATCTAATCTCAGGGGACTCCCACCAGGTCTACAGGATGCTATTGGTCCCACAGGCTAACCTTCAGATAGTGTAAGAGGAGACAAATGCCAGAAGGTAGAGATCACAGAGGTCACCTTGACAGGTGCCATTCTTAGTTTTCTGCTCATCTGCTTTGTCAATGAGACTGTGAAGAGCCATTTTACCCATTCCATCACACCTGAGGGTCTCTAAGAAAACTGTTCACCTCCTGTTTCATTTAGACGCTCTGCAAGTTCCCAATAACTACCCTTTGCTGTGTTCCAACCCTCTTCCGGATGCTTGTACAAGAGGATTTGACAAGGTACCGCCTCTGCTTGACACTCATGGGGCCCTCCTATGAGGACCTACGTGGAAATCCACCTTTCAAACCAACTCTTGTTCTCCCTGTTTCTCTGCTTTTGTCTTCCTATGACATTCTTGCCTCACCTTGTCTCTATGTCTTCATGTCTCTCTTTGTCGCTACCTGCCATGTTTTACACAAACACACTCCTATATATCTTACATCACGCTTTTAAAGATGATTTGTGTACCCTCGGAATTCATACCCAGAGAAAACAAAAGAAGACTTAAGGCAATCCAAAACTTAACTCTTGAGGTAAACTGTATCACCACTAGATATCATACCCACAGGCTAGTTCCTAAGCATTTTCTGTGGCTTCTATCACAGAAATCACTGGATTTCCACCCACCATCTATAGAATGGGGTTGGTAGCCAAGGGTCTTTCATTTGCTTACCCCAACAAGCTCACCACATTATACACTGTATCTCCCAGCCCAAATTAACCCAAGCCAGCCATTCTTGGGTGTTTATCTTGGGACACCCAAAAGAATGTGACAGCACTCTGTGGATAGCTCTTATCCTGGGCAAATCCAAAGCAATGCCCACTAGTTGGGCTGGGCTATGTGTGGGGATATTGGGGGAATGACATCATTCAGTAACTTAGTGAGCCTAATCCATGTTTCCCTCTTCTATCCTGTCCCAAGGCGCTGCCTTCCCATGTACTCATCTTCCTATATCACACTTGCTGGCCATGAAATACTCCTAAGAAAAGAGCACCTGCGTGATTTTGAATGTATTTCTTTAAATACAAGAATCCATCCCATTCATTCCTTTCTTGTGAATAACTCCACATTTTAATTTTGCCTGGAAGCAGTCCCTGGGTAATTCAAAACCAATTAGATACTGCTTAGCAATACTGAGTAATGCAATTGAATCAGTGGAATAAAAGCAGGAGATAAAAATGATTGAAAATGTATTTATATTTAGGATAATTTTTAAACAGAGACAGATTTTCTAGTTATTTCATATCTCTGGAAATTTTATGTCAAGTTTTCAGAATTGGGGAATTTTTGGAAGGCTATTTTTAATCTATTAAAATTTGATCAATTTCTTGTTTTCAATCAGATCATTGCATCAATTGATTTTATTATCAATCGGTTTGTTTGTAGGTAAATTAATTTGGACAATCCGCTGTTATGCCCAAACCTACCATAGGAATCTGATTTTAACCTCAAATCAGATAGTATTGATCTGATTTAATGGTTTGTATCTGTGGACCATAGCTGCAGAGAAAGGCTGCACTACATGGAGCAGATCCTGGAACAGAAGGGAGTTTATCTTCCAGGGACTTTGGGGCTCTGGACCTCTAGCAATGCTAGAGGGTAGGTGAGAATGTTTATCACAAAGATGGCCTTGTCTTCCTGCTTGAGAAAGGTACAAGTTTCAAAGCCTGAGGCACTGTTTGACTGGAGGAGAGGCCCTCAACCCTGATGTGAGGGACAAGTGGAAGAGCCAGACAGGCCTGGAGCTCCATGAAGGCTACGGACAGTCTGAAACAGTGAGTGGGTATCCCAGGCCACCTCATCCAAGCCCACAACCCATCACAGACGATCACTGACCTGCAATACCTACAGGAAACCGCCCTGGCCCTAGGGAAGACTGGCAGTGAAGCTCCGTTAGCCATTCTTCCTTTGGGCAGTGTCAAGAAATTCCACATACACCATGGGCTGCAAAGTAGCTTTCCAGATACCATCATTACTTTTTTTTTTTTTTTTTTTGTAGCTATGACAAAATATCTGGAAGAAACAGAGAGAAAAAACTTATTTTGGTTTATCATTTTCTAGGGCCCAGGCATGGTCACTTGGTCCCTTGAGCTTGGAGAACACTGTGCAGTGCAGGCTAACGATGGAAGAGGTTCTATCATGCCACCCATCTCAGAGATGCACTGCCTTCTAGATGATTCTAAGTTCAGTCCAGTTGACAATGAAGATTAATACTTATAATTGCTCAAGGAAGTTGTGACCCTAGAATAGCTGGCAGTGTGTTTTTAGTAAACTCTTCAACAGTGAACCCTGCAGTCATCTTGACAAGATGTGGGGGTGAGTGAGTCTTTGAGCTTAATGATACAATATAGCTCTCCAACCATGAACATAATTAGAGTACTTCATATGAGGAGGTTTGCTGGCCGTGGAAAAGGGAGATAAAGAAATTTTAAGGGAAAGGAAGAAAAGAGTATGAAAGTGAGGGAGAGAAAGATGGCAGAAGAAAGAGGAGAAGGAAGAATCAGATAGCAGGTGAGAGCAAGCATAGGTCAGGAAATAAAGTGGATGAGGCTTCCCTTCAATGACACTGGTTTCTCTCCAGGTCGTCATCTGTGGCAATTCAAGAGGCTCGACAATCAAGTCTGGATCAATGGGGAAAGCCAGCCCGCCTTATGATGTGCAGGTAGGCAGCCTCTGTTGACAGTGCATGGAGCAATCTATGTGCTGGGAGTACAGGCTGGGCTAGCGGGTACCATGGCTGTGTAAGGGATGCTCATGCTGTGGTCTCTCTATCAGATTGTAGATGAGGAGGGCAATGTCCTGCCTCCAGGAAAAGAGGGGAATATTGCTGTCCGCATCAAACCTACCAGACCATTCTGTGTCTTCAACTGTTATCTGGTAAGAGGTGGGAACAGCTGTGAGGAGTCACGGCAGTCACTGCATGCCAAGCCTTGAGAGGCACATTTGGTAAATATCTGTAGTGTAACCCCTGCAGTGCCTGCCTGGAGCTGGTTATTATTGCTATTGGTCAGGAGCACTGTTGTGGATGAAGAAGCTACCACATCGGAATTGCTTATCCAGTATCACATAACTAATATGCAACTCCAGAGGTTTATACAAGAGTGTGTTGAGGGCACAAACACATGACAACTTTGTCTCGAGTAAAAAGAACAGGAAACACTAGGCAAATTTGTGTGACTGCCACAGTGTGTTTGTTTGTTTGTTTTCAGGGTGTTTGTTTCTCGTTTGCTGGCTGGACTTGTACCCTGGGGTTTCAGTCCAAGGTTCCAAATTAAGACAGTAATGATCTGTTCTCTAGACATGCTTTGGCTAGAGTCTCTTCAGACTCTTCTCTATAAAGCTCTCAGACATAGAAATGCATCAGAAACACCCAGGGAACTGCAACTATTACTGATGCTCACACACCACTTGAACCAGATCAACTGAACTTTGGAATGATGAGGATTGGGCCCCTGCCTAATTCAAAGGTGCAGCCAAGGACTGAGAAACACTTGTCACAGACACGCTGTCATTCATATCCTAAGCCAATTGTGCATTGTGCAGTCAACTTATCAAGACCCATGAAAACATTTGTTAGCAATTTAGTTAGATTTTGCATTACATGTATAAATCAACCCAGAAAAAGGTGACATTTCACCCATACTTTTTCTTTTTCTTAATTAAGTGTGTGTGGGGGAGGAGTACATGCTTATGCTAGGGCATATGTGTGGAGGTCAAAGGACAACTTGTGGAAGTCAGTTCTCTCCTTTCATCAGTTCTGTCCTTGTACCATGTGGGTTTGTGAATTGAACTGAGAGCATCAGTCTTGATCGCAAGCACATTTACCCAGCGATCCATCTCCTCTTCATGTTTTTAAAAGTCTTTCCACTTGTTTATATATTCTGTAGACCAGTAAGAGTTCTGTACCTCGACCTTATAGACTTTCGGTAAGAGAAACCTTTTAGATATTCATTAATAGCGTAGCTTTTTCCTCAAAATAACTCAAACTTTTTGAATGTAGATAAACTTACTTGTGAAAAAGAATGTACCCATGGCAAATGTGCAGTCCAATGACTTTTGACCAATGTGTGTATCTATGTAGCCACCACTGAGTTAAGATACAGACACTGTCCTCACGCCTAAGCACTCCACGAGCTACCTCACATTCAACACTCTTTACCTCACACGCCAGGCCACTGGAAAACCGTTGTTACTATATAGCAATTTTGTTTTCTTTCTAAGAACTATACATGGAGTCATACAAGATCCATTTTTTTTTTTATATCTTAGACTCAGGATAATTTATTTGCCAGTCACCCATATTTTTTCATGCACTAGTAACTTTTTTCTATTAAATAGTAACGTCTTCTTTATAATTTTTGAAATTGGGCTGGGGAGTTAGCTTTGGGAGTAAAACACTTGCCATTCAAGTGTAAGGACCTGAGTCTGGATTCTCAGAAACCACCTAAAGCTCTACACAGTAGCATGAACATCTGAAACCCTAGCGCCGAAGAGGAGATGGAGACAGGAGAGTCCCCGAAGCGCACAGGCCAGCTAGTGCACATAAACAATGAAAGACTCATCTGCACAAAGCAGAAGGAAAGAACTGCCGTCTGAATCTGTTTCTGACTTCCACTAATGGCATTCATGTGTCCACATTCAAACACACTGATGTGTGTATGTGTGAGTGTGTGTGCCTGTGCATGCCCCCCACACAGACAAGTAATTTTTTGAGTCATAGCTTGCATTTTTCTTTACTCTACCCTATCAATAGGGTTTCAAGCCAACCCTTTACTTTCTACTACTCTCAGTGTATTCCCTTATCCAGAGCCAATGCCCTGTGCGTACCCCCCGGAGTTCAACTCTTCTAAGGATACTCTGGGGGCAGTTGCTCCACATCCCACCCGGCAACTCTCATCCAGCCAAAAGAAGGGAAATCACAAATCTGTAGGGGTCCAGCCCTCTAGGAAATTCCAGACAGCTTGAGCCTTGAGACTACCTGTTGAAGAGTGGATGGACACTGGGTGGGCTCTCCAAACAGGGGCTGGCCTAAGCAGTTGTGCCCAAATGATCCTCCATGGTCTTCCCTTGTCCTCTAGGACAATCCTGAGAAGACAGCTGCATCGGAACAGGGAGACTTTTACATCACTGGGGACCAAGCCCGTATGGACGAAGATGGCTACTTTTGGTTCTTGGGGAGAAATGACGATGTAATCAACTCCTCAAGGTCAGGTGGTTTGCTCTTCCTGTCTTTGAGGGTCTGTAGCGCTAGGGGAGCCATGTGGAAAAGTTGACTTTTCTCTTTCAGCTACCGGATTGGGCCTGTTGAGGTGGAGAGTGTGCTTGCTGAGCACCCGGCTGTCCTTGAGTGCGCCGTGGTCAGCAGTCCAGACCCCATCCGGGGAGAGGTGAGCAGTCAGGCAGGAGCACAACCTCCTTGTTCTCTAGATATTAACACCCAAAGGAACACGCAGGAATGCCAGAACCCTCCTTTGGTCTCGGCCTCACCCCTAGTACCACAAAGCCAAAAGTTCACCCTTGGTCACACATTCCTTCTGATTAACCTTCTTCAGAATCATAAGTACATGCTACAAAGACAAGATGGGAAAATACAAAGTTTAGTTTTACTTGGACAGCAGACAATCCAAACAATCCAAATAAGGCTGCCCATTGGGGGAGGAGACCTCAGTGGAGGACACAGATTGTCATTAATCCTCTCCAGTTTTGGGTTTTTTTTTTTTTAAAGCCTTTTTCTGTTTTCAGGTGAGAACCTAGCAAGCCCACCAGACATGACCTATGGGAGTTGTAGCTGGAAGGGATAGCCAACTTGAGGGATGACAGAGTGCTTCTACATGGCTTTAACATACTAGAAAGATGAGCCAAATTTAATGTACTTTCAGCAGGCAAAGGTGAACCCCTCTTTTGTGGGCCCCAAGAGGAAGGAAAGAGCAGCTCCTAGGCAGTAACAACCCAAAGGAAGGGAGACTTCTCTGGTTCACAGTGTCAAGGGTTTAGTCTTTTGTGGTGAGAAAAGGAAGGCAGAGAGAGTAATGAGGCTCATGGTTTGACTGGGGATGGGGCGTAAGCACGTTTACATCGTAGCAGGCCGGGAAGTAGACGAGAGACAGTAACCAAGGACCCTATGTAACTGTCAAAGACCCACCACCAGAGACCTACCTCTACTAATGAGGTCCCACTGCCCAAAGTTTTCAGAACCTCCCCAAGCAGTGCCACCAGCTGAGGAATAAGCTTTCAAACTGTGTGTACGGCAGACATTTCAGATTCAGATGTAAGCCACAGCTCCAGCCTGATCCTAAAGCACAAAGCAGTTCCTCTGTAAAAGTTGGAGTGATATCAGTCTGTGTTCTCAGAAGCACTGGGGCCAAAGGATGATTTGTGGCTGCCTCATTGAAGTTCCTATTTAAAACACAGGTTTGTACACTTCAAGTCAGGTTTGGTGAATCAGATTGATTGTGGAGAGGGTCCAGAACACCAGCTTTGGCCTGAACCCCTTTGCCAAATGACTCCCAGCTAAAACCTGAGTTAGACATAAGAAGAAGGAAGTGTGACGCTACTTGAAACACAGCCTGGCACATAATAGGTGCTCAGCAAATGTTTAATAGTAATCATGGGAAGAGGCAGAGCTTCCTAAAAGCCAGGTCTGCCTGAGTATGAAATGATAGCGAGCTCACACCTTTGGGAAGGCTAGCGTGCAAGGACAACCACCCCTTAACAAAAGGGAGTTAGCAGAGTTTAATGTTGGTGTAGACCTGCAACCAAGTGGCCTTGTAAGCTCTTCCATTGCTATTAGAAACTTTTTAAATTTCATTTTAAGATTATACTATATTACATTTATCCCTTCCCTCCTTCCAATCCCTCCCATATACCCCTTCTTGCTCTCTTTCAAATTTGTGGCCTCTTTTATCATTAATTGTTATTGCATGTATAAATGTATGTGCATATCCATATACATTCCTAAATATTACCTGCTCAGTCCTTATAATCCTCCTTATATATATGTTTTCAGGACTGACCACTTGATATTGGATATTCCGTTGGTGGACTCCTCCCTGGGAAAGACTCTCTGTCCCATTCCCTGCATTCCCCAGTTGCCTGTAATTCTTTGTGTACCGTTGACACCTGTGGGCTTTCCCCTGTGTACTCTGGCATTTGTATTGGTGTTGTCCTTGTTGGTGTTGTCCTTGTTCAGCTCACACCGAGGTAGTCATGTTGGTAAGACTTCATGGGTATAGTTTCTGACATTACTAGGAGACACAGTTTGAAGGTAGTTTTAAGTGTGTTTATTTATGTTTGTGTGTGTGAATAATTATGCACACGTCTCACAGCACATGTGTGGAGGTCAGAGGAGGACAGTTTCTAAGAGTCAAACCATGTAGCCTCCAAGGAGTGAGCTCAGGTTGCCAAGCTCAGCCTCAAATGCACATACCCTCTGAGCCACCTCACCATCCTAGAAATTATGTTTTGAACAATTGTTCCCTCTTTATCAGGACGAAAATTGTAGGAGAAACATGGGCAGTCAAAGCCAAGGTGCATAACGTCTCTTGAAATGACTGAAGCAGAAATGGTGTGGCTCCATGTTTGCTGATGGGACACTTACATGCTTCACACTCAGAGACCCAGAGGCCTCCTGAACAGGGCTGTGTTTTCCTTAGCCCTGCCTGGACAACCCTTGCTTCTCTATTCTCCTGCAGGAAAACTTGGAAGTAAATGGCCATTGCCATTGGGAAGCTATTTCCTCTACTGCCTTTGCGTCTTAAGAGAATTCATGCTGGCTCCAAATGGAGCTATTACAAATTTAGGGAGTGGCATGGAAAAGTGAGGCTCTAAAATGATTCCATAAAAGTCAACGCTTCAGTAGTTTCTCATGAACAGGAACGCATTAGGAAAAACAGTGTTGATCACATCACTCTGTGTGCTCAAGGAACTAGCAGAACCCTCGCGTTTGAGTTTAAGTGGCCACACATGTGCAAGGCTAGCTCGAGGAATAAAGCATCATTCCTGAAGGGCTGATCCTTTCTGGTGTCCCTTCCCTGCAGGTGGTGAAGGCATTTATAGTCCTTTCTCCAGCCTATGTGGCTCACGACCCTGACGCCCTGACGAAGGAACTCCAGGAACATGTGAAGACAGTAACTGCTCCATACAAGTACCCGAGAAAGGTAAACGCCCAGGGTCCCGAGACATAATCTGGGGAACCAGACGGGTCCCCGCTCCCTGGCCTGGCCTCCCAGGGCCAGGATCTCTGCTGGAGATATGCATCTGCCAGTTTCTGCTTCAGCCTTATTTGTCTTTCTTCACTGGGTCCTGCCCAAAGCACACTATGTTCTTACTGTGGGAGCTGACCTGTAGATGAGAAGCAAAGGTTCGGATGAGAGGTGAACACCCACGTGCTCCAAGCACTAGCAGTTTCAACTGTTGTCACATGAGGGAAACCCTGAACGGTGGGTACTTTCCAAAGAAGTAGTAAAAGTGATGACTGAAGACAGCAGTCCTTCTGGGAAATGATGGTTTCTAAGCATGATTGTGTCTGTTTGTTTGGTCACCAGGTGGCTTTCATTTCGGAACTGCCAAAGACAGTTTCTGGAAAGATCCAAAGGAGCAAATTGAGAAACCAAGAATGGGGGAGATGAGGTTCAATCTATGTGATGCTCTGAAGATTCTGAAAGAAGGAGCTGGGGTTGGCCAGCCCCTCCTTGGAACACTATGCCTTCAAAGAATAGGCGTGAAGACAGTCAGCTTCCAAATGGGCATTACGGGGCGATGCTGAAAAATTTGAGAGCACCCCTGGTCCAGGGCTCACAGCCACTGTCCAGTTTAGCAAATGTCCATGATTTAATGTCCCTCTCTAGAGTCATCCTCAGCATCTGTCCATCGGTTTTACTAAGAGAATCTTGCTGTTCCTGAAGCATGTGGATCACCACAACCTTAGAGCATCTGCGGTCTCACTATGCCAGTGGGAATGTAAAATGTGACCGTTGGATGAAGCCATTCGGTCACAGCATCTACGCTATAACAAGGGGCCATACCCTTCCATTTAGGAATCACACCGTTGGGACTATAAAAGAAGAGATTCAGAATGCATAAAGTATTTGATAGACAAAGATATTCAGGGACGCATTGTTTTAAACTGAAAACACGCACAAATGCCAAAACGTGATTAAATCAATTCACGCTAGCTTGTTTGCAATTTATGTAACAAGTTCTTAAGCACAGCTCATGTCCTGAGGTGGAAGGGGACTTGAGTTATATTCAAGTTTAAAGGGGAAAACTGCCACTGGGAAGCGGCTGCAAAGAAACACACTGGAGAAACCACCAGGCCCTTCCCTTAGACACTTACCATCTCCCAGGTTTTCTTAAGAAATAGAAATGATTGTTTCGATGGACAAGTTATTTCAGAGAGAGATCTTCCAGACGTGAGAGAGGGTGCTGATCAAAAAGTGGCTCCGGTGTAAGTGTGAGCACCCGATTTCCAGATCTCTCATAGCCATGTGAAAGTCAGCTGTGGTTGCGTACATCAGGGACCTTAACTGTAGGGGGAGGGGAAGACCAGAGGATCCCCAGTCTCGCTGGCCAGCCAGTCTAGCCAATCAGTGAGCTATGAATCCACTGACTACTGGCCCCAGCATGCATGCGCACACCCATGAACACGTGCGCATACAATATATGTCTGTACACACATATGCAGTCCCCCAAAAGGAACCAATCTCCCAAGACCGCCCCCATGTCTCATACGTAGCTCTCTGCTCATAAATCAGTGCTCATTCTAGAGCAGTAAATATCCCAGAGCACAGCAGTGAGAAGCCACGTTCTTCTAGGCCCTGAATCTGGAAAGCGTGGCTCTCGATGACTGAGACTAAGCACAAAAAGGAGAAGCTGGTGGAAACCCACAGCATGCCTGTGACCTCTACCCAAACCCCAGCATTTCTCTTCATTGGTTAATATGTATTTACTGGGCATCTACTAGTGCTGGGGCCTGTGGAGATGATGACAGGCAAAGTCAACCTGTATGCTTGCCAAGTCTGCTACAGGCAAGTCCCAGGATGGGGTGACTGTTTCCCTCAGTTCCAGGGTGCGACTCTAACAGCAAAGTGTTGGCAAGCTGGCTCCATCCAGAGGCTACTCCTCACATTGCAAGTATTGTGTTGGCCCTATGCCTCAAGTGCTCTTCTCCCACACAGGCAAAAGATGTGTGTACACTTGCATCTCAACTTCCTCGTCTTTTAAGGACACTTGTCACCTCCTACTACAGGAGGACATTTGGATGCTCATGACCTACCTTAATTTTACCACTTCTTTAAAAACTTTGACCTTGAGTAAGGGGCTGGAGGTTGCAAGCTCCAGGGGCTGCCTGGGACACAGGGTAAATTCAATGCCAGCTTGGATGACTTGATGAGACCCTGTCTCAAAACCAAGCCGGTAAAAAGAAGGGGTTGGAGATGTAGCCAGTAGTTGAGCATTCACCCAACATGTGTAAGGCCCTGGGTTCAAATCCCCAATAACACAAAAGCAAGTGAATAAGCAGGCAACCAAAATCCTGTTTCCAAATCCAGCAGAGACATTCTAAGGTTCTAGGAACTGGGATCTCAACAAATAAATTCAACCCATAACACTGCTTACGAAAGTTTAGTCTTTTGGAGAGGCTGATACTATTTCTCATGAAGCAATAGCAATAAAGATATGACCTCGATAAGTGCCATGAAGCACACAGTGACTGGCAGGCCTGGGGAACTTGGAATGTGTGTAGGTTTGTGTAAGCAGTCTCCAGGGGAGCTTGGGAGATGTCCTAGCGGTTAAAGGGCTTGCTGTACAGCATGATGACCAGAGTTCAGATCCCCAGAAACTCGTGTAAATGTTCAGTGAGTATGGTGGTCCAGCCCTGGAAAGCAGAGATATGAGATCCCGGAAGAAAGCTGACTTGAGAGACGAGACATATCAGTAAACTCTGGAGTTTGAGTGTGGGGTCCTGCTCCGACACCTAAGGTGGGAGGACAATGGAGGATGGTTCCTGGTGTCAAATCCAGGCCTCCACATGCGTGTGCAAGGCCTGCTCCCCGATGTATAGCCTCACACAAAAACCCGCGCACACCCGCATTCATGCACGCCTACTCACAAATGTGCCAAAGCATGCATACACATATGCAGATGACGGGTACACCCATGAGAGTGGGGCCGGGGAGAGAAGGCTCTGGTGAGCCGGGACCGAGGGAAACACGGACATAGGTAAAGAGATGAGGGAGTGGGGCCTCCAGACAAAGAACACAGGTTGTGCAAGGGCCCCGTGGGGAGGTAGAAGAAACGCTGCACATGCAGCTAGAGCCAGGCACACCCACGCGATTCACAGGGCCTTCGCCTGTGCCCTCACATGAGCAGACACTGATACTATCCTACTTCATGTATGGACTGACAGGCCCAGCATCGTGTTGAAATCCACACAGCTGTCACCTCCCAGAACTAGGTCAACTGGCCATTGCTTCGCCCTCATGAATAATTCAGTTGGCTTCACTTAGGTGTTGGATCTTTGCACACACTGGAAGTGTAGATTCCCCTTTAGAAAGTGAAATCTCAAAGCAATGTAAAATACCATACTTATTAAAGAAGTTTATTTTTTTTTCCTTTGTCTTACTATGTAGCCTGGACTGTCTTTGAACTCTAGAACCACCTACGTAAGCCTTATGGGTACTGAAACTACAGGAATGAACCACCATTGGCTTAATTAACTTATTTTTACTATGTTAATTATCTAAGTATTACCTACAATGCATTTTGATCACATTCACTCTCCGCTCCATCTAGACTCCTCCTAGATCCATCTCCTCTTTCTCTACCCACCCAACCTTGGCTCAATTTTTTGTTTGTTTGTTTGTTTTTGTTTTAAACCTAGCAAGTCCAATTTGGGCTGTCCGTATACTCGCAGGCGAGAGGCCATCCCCTGGAGTGCCACCTACCTGCAGGGTGGCCATGTCCTTAAAGAAAACTGACACTCTTTCTCTCAGCAGCTTTCAAGATCCAGCAGCTCCTCAGCTAAGGGTAGAGCGTCGTGTCCACCTTTCCCCCACGCCCACTCCATGTTGAGTCCATCTTGAGCTTGCCCAGGTCTTGTGCATGTACTGGTGGGCAGGTCTTGCAAGGCCAATCATTATTGTAGCCCACAGGGTTAACAGATAACAAAGATGAGTGGTTACTTTCCTCCTTCAGTAGAGTACCTAAGCACCTTCCAGCACTATGAAGGCAGCGAGTAGGGATGAGGCATCCAGGCCAGTAGCAGCTTGGCTTCTGCATGTTCCGTGACTCAACCACGTGATGCCTTCAGGATAAGGTCTTACCATCAAGTTCTGGAGGTAACAAAGAACAATAGCAGCAGCCTGTAATGTTAGGGCATCTACAGGACCACCCTGGCCAACAGCTCCGAAAGAGGAACTCATTCCTGGCACTGGGCTTTTTATTTGGCAGCTAGAAGTTCTTCCTAAGGGCACTATCAACCTTTTACAGGGTAACTCCATTTAAACTAGTTTTGTATGCCTATGTTTCAAGAAGTATTGATAGGCCTAGGTTTCAATTTAAGTTTTTCTTTTATAAGGTCTCTAAGGTTAGTCATCCTGCCCGGTATTCCTTCCTCTGCCTCACCCTCACATTCCCTACCCAGTTTAACCCTTCCCCTTTTATATCACTGCAGTCTACCTCTCTTACTGTAAAAACCCCCCATCATGATTCCTTACTAGTTCCCTGATCTGTATGTGTTTCCCCAATAAACACATACATCTGAGGATTCAAAACTGATGCAGAAATGAGAGAAAATGTGACATTTGTCTTCTGGGGTCTGAGTTACTTCACCCAGAATGATTGTTTCTTGATCATTGTAAAAATGATTCATTTACATGAAAGATTTTATCATTTTCCTTTTTCTTTCTTTCTTTCTTTTTTTCCTTTTATAAACTTTTTATTGGTTCTTTGTGAATTTTACATCATGGACTCAAATCCCAATCATCTGCTCCTCCTGTTATGCCCTCCTTCCACCCTTGCAACCTCCCCCACAACATAGGAAAAAAAAAAAACAAACCTCATTGTGAAGCTGCAGTGTGTCACAGTGTGTCCCACAGTATATAGACCCTTCTGTCTACAATGTCCCACTGTCACGCCTTGGGGCTGCCTACTCACCAGCAACCCCACCACCAGAGGCAGCTCTACCCTGCTGTCCAAGCAAGGCGCAAGGCCCAGTCTCCCAAGTGTTGCAGCTGATGATGGACAGGGCCAGTTTACCCCACTCTCACAACCCAGGACCAGCTTCTCCAGCTGCCAGAGGTGAGGACGGACAAGGGAGGGAGGAGGGCATCTTTCCCTTACCCATGCGGCCACATGACATACAAATTGAGGGGTCAGCTCACACACACAGGGCCGGCTCACCTGAACCCACAACACCAGGGTCTGCTCTACTGTGATGCCCAGGCAAGATGCAGGGCTTGCTCTCCCAAGTGCTGCAGCTGGTGAGGGGCAGGGACAGCTCTCCTACTGTCACACCCCCAGGGCCATCTCTCCCACAGTGCTCTCAGCTTGAGGGGTGGGGCCAGGACTGCACAGCCTCAGACATTAACATGTCCCCAGGTGGCTGCCCAGATCATGGACATCTGACTGGCATTTGGTGGTAAAAGACATCTGTGGCTCCTGAGGGGCCACAGTCTCAGATGTGACCCCTGATGGCAACACAGGCCAGAAGCCCATCATGATCCCAGGTGGCATCGCCAGCTACTCATATCAACCTGTTCCTCGCTACCCTCGGGTCTCCTGTACTGCCTCTCTTCATTGTGCCCACATCCTTCTGTTTCTCTTTCTCTTCCGCTTTTGCACCACTTACTTGCTCTTCTTAGTGGTGCCAAGGGTCTCTGAGGATTTAGGGTCATCTCAGAAGTGGTCTTAGGAGTGTTATGCCCTGCTCATGCTTTAGGGCACTGGACAGGTGTCATCTCAGGCATGGGCTGGTCCCCTAGGCCAATGTAGCACCAAAATAGTGCTTGTTTCAGGCTTGATTCTTTTTAAGGAGTCTTAGGCTACTAAGCATTCACATGTCCACTGGTCAGAACACTGAGCAGACATGCCCTCTCTCCTCTCTGCTACCTACTGACACACGAGAGTAACTTCATTTTTTCTTTTTTTTTTTAATTTATTTTTTAAATTTCATTT